TGAAAGCACAGGATTGGAGTTGAAGAGCATTCCCTGAATTGGTATTATAATTCCGTTTTGATCCTCTCTCTCAAATATAGCTAATATGAAAAATAGAAACTCAGGCAGAAAATAACATACCGGATGTGTATCTAGAGGTTGTTTCAACAGGAGATCTCCAAAAAGATCTTCACAGTATTTTGACATCTTGTACTGTTGATATTTGCTGCAAAATACGACATTGGTTAACTTAAGTGTAACAAAAAAAAAAAAATCACTATTGCTCAACAAGAGCATAACAGTAAAATAATTTATGCATTCTAAATTATGCACTGCCCACTTTCTCTCAACAGAAAATTATTCTTTTACTGTAAACAAACTGTTACTACAAACCCATTATCTGACACATATGAATTTAAATTAAAGACCAAGAAAGTAGATGAACTGAATACCACAGTTAACAGGACATTCAAATATACTTCACAGCTTTACCACAGATAAAAATATTGCCATTACTAAGCTAGCTAAAGCTTAACCGGATATTAAAGCACATTCCCTTCCAAGTGAGATCCAGTATAACTGCACACCCCTATAAGGTTTTCAAATATACTCCAATCATAGTATTTTAGAGCACATCAACTTTATTACCCATTGCACTATTAAAAATAAAACGGGATAAACTATATACCTGCAGTGATTTTCAAATGAAAGGATGACAGGATACTCTGATGTAACAAATGCTGTTTCCTTAATGGCTTGAATTACATCCTTTAAAATGCAACAACAGGATTCAAATTAGAACAGATCAGGTTACAAGCATAAGGAAAGATTTTTTTTTTTGTCCTATTCCCCATCCGGAGAAACAAAGAGCTAAATCTCAAGTGGAGCAAACAAAAGCAGAGCAGGAACAAAGTGTACGCTCCTTCTCTTCGTCCCCCAACAACTTGGGTTCAGTGTTTGGCAGTGCTCCCTGCACGTGCAGCAACGGTGGCTGCTCCACTCACAACCCACCAGTGCTGCTACCCCCAGATCTGCCATCTCATCTTGCCAGGAAGGATTTCAACTCCTTCTATCTCTAGGTTGCTTCTACAGCTAAAAACTTCATAGGCAGTAGAGAGGATTTTTATTCTGTTATGCAAAAAGCTATAGAATGTGACGAGACTGGAAAAATGAGCAACAGAAAAATGAGCCTGCTTCGTGCAGAGAAGCGAAAAAGGGCTGTAGGCCACAAGGCAAAAAAGAGCCTTCAAGATGCCATATTGATGTCAGTCCGTCACGAGGCAGAAGCTATAGGGTATGAAGAAGAGGAAGGTGCCCTGCACTGATTCTTGTCCTAGGGGGTTTGTTTGGGCTTACTTTCAGACGCAGTGGTCAGTCTTTTACCTTGAAAAGAATATCTGTACACATTGCTTTTCCATGTGTTATTATCGGTTCTTGGTCTTCACCTTTTCCATCCCAACAGTCCAGCTCAACACATCTAAAGACACAAGAAAAACTGTATCAATTTTCTTAGTGTTGTAGCACAGGTAAGCTATTCAGGACAAGTTCTGATCAGAGATGTTCAGGAACAGTAGCTACAACACAATTTTAGTCATAACACAACTCCTTTTAAGACGTATCTGTAATTCAGGCTGCTCTTTTATCTTTGGACATACTACCTTACATACAGTATGTGTGGGAGAATATATCACACATGAGCACCTTAGTATTCATTATTTATTTTCTTTCCATAGTTAATTGTGACACGCTACAGTATGTCGAGAAATTAAGCAGGAAATCATGAACTGGTTTACACATAAATACTTCTTAAATAAAAGGCATAAAACCCTCTCAAATTCTTCACCTTTCGTTCTGAGATCAAACTAATGTTGTGTTTATCACAACTCATCTCCCATCTCTTGAAACCAATTCTTACATTATATTGCAGTGTTTTTCTGTGAGAAATACAGTAACTTCTATATATATATTTTCATTTGCCACACTTATTAATTTATACATTCAATTATGCAACTTATCACTGTTTAAGGAATATTATGCATATTTAACTGGTAAATTTATAAATGTTAAAGACTATTATCTACAGCTTCCAACCTGCATCCAGCCAAAAGCACTTGTCTGTACATCTCCACTGAGGACTTTCCTCCAAATTGCCTGCCTGTTAAGTACGTATTGTGGGAAGAACTGATGAAATAATGAGCTAAAGGATGATCCATTTCTTGATACAACTCCAAACGATCTAGGAAAACTGGGGCATTTTCATCTGACATCAAGTATCTGCAAAATCCATCACTTGATATGAGACCTGGAAGGAAGAAGAAAGCATGGGTTTGGCAAAAATCTATAATGGACACAAACTCTGTCAAAGCAGGAACCCTCTCAAAAGGTTACGTCTACACAAGATTTTGCAAAAAAAGAGAGGCTCCCTCTTTCAGTACCCCAAGTTAAACAGCACCTGTGCTGCTACACCCTCCTAGTACTCCACCAGTTTCAGACTCCTAGACCTTGTGAGCAAGTGACTGTGAGTTGTGCATTTAAAAGTCTTGCATGGGACTTCTTCTGCTTGCTATTTAGTCCCGCACTGGCTGTGGCTACACTGCTGCTAACCAGTTTGCAGCACACGCAGAGATTGTTCTCTGCTGGCAAAAATAAGCAGACAAACCTGAAGACGCTCATGCGTGTTCATTTGCAAAGCATGGAAAATCTAAGATACTTCCAAGTTCATTGTTTGAAATACTTGCAGTAGTTTATTCCGTTACAATGAAAAGCAACACGGGACTGCACGTTAACTCAGGAGAGCATTTGTAATTTCACTTACTTTCCTGTTATGTTGCTTCATAAAGTATAAAAGATCAAGGGGTAAGTTTCAGTGGAAAGAAAAGACAAGATAATCAGCACTGCAATATGAGTTTTTAAAGTAGCCAAGAAGCTAAAATAGGACGGAGGACAGGATGGAAGGGATTAATAATGGAGAGTCATAGCAGAGAATAATTATCTGACCCTAGCTTGAAGCTGCACTCCTTAAAGTCAAATACGGATGCTCAGCTATTTCTAAGGCACAGGTTACAGCACTCCCAATTTTATTTTGTTGAAAACAGTCTTTTCTCTTATGCAGAAAAGTCCAATAATCCTGCCTTTTATTTTGTTCATAGTCTCCTGAAAAATCCTGTAGTGGAGCTTAGGCTTTGTAGGGTTTGTGTCAGACAAGGGTGAAGTCTTACTCAAATATTCTCAGCTGCTTCTGAGTTTTTGAGGAAGCTGCAAAAGGGGGGAAAGTGGGATATCCAGCTTTAAAAGTGTTTTTATTTCATCCATCACTGAGAACTTAAAAGTGGCAGCACAAAATGTCTCTCAGATGATATGCACTTGAGGCAGGCAATGTGGTCTCTGATCTTCTTGCTCAGAGATAGCATAACATTTTGCAAAGCACCCATGTAGAATATTCTGCTGTAAGCTAGGCAGCTGCCCTCAGGTAGCTGATACAGATCACAGTATAAGAAGGGAAAATTATTATCTGTAAACTGTAAGCTGGAGGACTGTAAACCCCTCTTTTAGAGGTTAGATGCTTCGGAACATGTTGCCCAAATGCCTAAAAACCAGTAATGCTTAATCTCCTTCCGTTTGTTTACCTTTACTCTTCAAGTCTTCATCTGGCTCATATGTCTCAATTATCCGCATTGCTCTTTTTGTATCATAGAATGGAAATAAAATTTCATTCAGCCGAGGATCTCGCTGGTGCTAAGGTTAGAAAACAAGAGAATTCAGCCAAACATGCAATACATGGCTACCAACCAAGATTATTTCATTACTGCAGATGAGAAAGAAAGAAGCGGACATTTTAAAAAAACCAAAAACAAAATAAAACTAAAACTTACGGAATATCCGATGGTAGCTTTAGCATTAGACAGAAAACAAACCTTACTTATCTTTCATAAGAAACCTAGGCAGTTTGATTCTAGAAATATTTCCAAAGAGTCCAGCGTAATCAAATAACTGGTCTTACTGTTGCTTGTTCATGAAAACAATGATTGCACGTGGTAAACACGCCAATGAAATGTTGAAAATAAAAAGCTAAACTCTCTTCTTCACGAATTCGCTCTCTTCTTCCCGATCATTTTTGTAGGTCATGTAAACTGATAGACTTGACTGATGGCACTGTAATCACCTCCGCAAAAATGCATGTCTTCCGCAACATCTATAGCTAAAGTAAAAATTAGAAGCAAAATAAAGCTATACTATAAATACAGAATTTGAAAGCTGAATTTAGAAATGTGCAATCACTGATTATTTGTGAATTACATAAATACTGCTCATCAACTATTCAAAAATCAGTCTAGGTTCTTAGAAGAAATACGTAAAACTTAAAAAAAATGCACAGTATCATCTCTTCCATTTACAGTAATTTATGGTATTGCAACTTCATAACATATGTAACTTAGGTATTTTAGAGACAATTTAGCAGTGATTTCTAGTATACTGCTAAAATATAGGGTTTTTAAGGTTTCACTTTAGACTGCACTATGTAATTTTTTTCCATTCCAGATTAGAGCTGCACACCGTGTGCCTGATTCTCCATTAAAAAAAATTAAAAACAGAATTAAACTGAGTAGTGGCATGTAAGCAGATGCAATAAAACATAAAGAAATAAATATGACTGTGAAACACTCTTTTACCCCAGTAGGTGCAAAGTTTTCAAGCTGTAGTTAAAGCAGAATTCAGGCCATCCCCGTATTGGAGATTAATAATTTGGAGTGGACAGGATGGTATTCACATGGCTTGGCACAGCACTACCAGCATTTGCTGTAATTTCTTACATGTAAAAATTTTCCTTTTTTTTTTTTTTTTTTCCTAACCCCCTCAAGAAGAAGAAGAAGAAGAAAAAGCAATACCCAGTTAAATGTAAGCAACTTCATCCATTTTCTTCCAATCAATATATTGGTGTCTGTGCTTGATTCATTTCAAGAAATTACAGCCAATGCCAATATAGTCATGCAAATAAGGAGGGATCTTTCAAGTAATGCTTCTGACAGTCCGCAGTATCTGAAGTACAGCAATTACATTCACTACAGATCAGCTACCTGAATATGTAAGTAAAACTCAGGTGAAATATGAAATGAAAGCAGCTGGATGCAGGACATAACTTGCTAAGCACCACGCAACAGCAATAAAACACTTGCATGCAACAATACAGTCTACTGTGACAAATGACAAGCTATATACTGTTAGTGAAAATAAACCACTTCAATCAATTTTAAGAAAGAGGAAGGGAGGTTCTTACTAGAGTTCTTCCTCGCTCTTTATTCCACAGATAATAATAAGAAAATATAAGAAAACAAATGGAATAAAGGAAAAGTCTCCTATTGGGAAACTGTGTCTCAGAATTATTGTAGGGAGCTAAGAACAAGGCAGTGTTTGTACTCATCATTACTACCTATTTTTTTCATCTGAACAAAAGTATGTCTTTAGTTTAAAAAGAAAGCAAATCTGACACCTGATGAAATATAACCAAATATACATATATATATGTGTGTGTTTGTATATATATATACACATTATATATATATATTCATTTAGTGCCATCTCTGGAGGAAATGTCCTCATCTCCCGAATTTGTTGTCTCAGGAAAGTAACCTAAGCAATACTAAAAGCCTTAAGTTTCATGCCGAAGATATTGTGGATACGATGCAATGCTTCTAGTTTCTATTTAAGAAGGGCACCCTTCCACTAGACCTTCTTAACCATATGAGGGTGAACTATCTAAAAGGATCTAGAAGCATGGACAGAAAGAATTCCTGGTTGATTTGCATTTGACCTGTGCCGCAATAAAAAGGGTCTCCTTTTGTGGAAAAAGACAGACAGACAGAACAAAAAAGGATGTCCTCATAGCTCCTTTCCAGGAGGTATATTCAAAATAATTTAGGTTGAAGGCTAATAAGGAACTGCCCTGCTAAACAACTCCCTTCTATATTAAAAAAAAAAAAACTTCTTATATTTTCCAGGATTAAACATCACTAATTGAAGAGTTGGCCAGATATCAAGGGGATAAAAATGATTGCATCAGGAGAGAGATTCTGGGTCATTCAGTGCCTTTGAAGCCATGACCAAAACCTTAAACTCTATTTCAAAACCAAAAGACTTAGAGAATAGAGACAAAAGCACAGGTTTCAGGTCATCAAAGCAAGTGTCCCACTCTATAAAACCGTTTCACTAAATTTTTCCAGCTTCAGTCACCAACTGAGGGCCAACTATAACATTTCCATTTGAAAAGCCTGCCATATCTATAGGACGTAAGGAACAAGATCCTCAATCTTGTCCATAAGACTTCTAAGTCTGACAAACAACTGCTAAAACCACATAAAATTGAGAGTACAGCACTTCATTTTATTTTATTCAAAAGACAGTGGAGATAGCCAGGAAGTTCCTACAATTGCTGGCACTTCAAAAGTGAGAGCTTCCAGAAAGTACACTTTAAACTAAAATAAACACATAAGTCAAATTTAAAATAAAGTCCAACAATTGTTTACTGAAAAATGAGGAATTACTCAACTCATGATTAATGCACGCATGCAAAACCAGAAGCAAATATTGGACAAGATGAGGGCAGGACTTTGTTTCAAGCAGTGAAGTCTGTGAATACAAGTCAGTTTGGGAGCAAAATACTTTAAAAGGATCACTCGCAATTCAGAACACAATTTAACCCTTTCCTCTTCTAAATGCAGGAGGAAGAATGACATATCTTAAGTCTGACCGTGAATCCTACAAACATCTAGATACTGGACTTTGTAAATACCTACAATAAAAAGTCGCAGTAGTGACATTAAGCATGAGCTTATATTTGGCAGTGGAGGGAAGTATGTGGATGCCAACTGAGGCCTCAAGTATGTAATCATTAGGGATAAAATTGTTAATCTCACTATTTTTTCCTCTTTGAACGCTCTGTCTCTGTGTAGTTCAGTTTTCATGAAAAATAACGCACACATTCCTTATTTAGAAAGCAAGCAAGCAAGAGGAATTTACTGCTTAAATCTTAATGCAATAGTAATAAAAAATATGAAATATGTAAAATAGATTCTAAAATGGCAAAATAATTTTAGATAGATTTTTGGTAAACGCACCTGTTCCCTAAAAATTCATGTACAAAAGTCAAACAATTCACTATATCCTAGGTGGCAAGAATCTATTGGTGCAGAATAAGAGTGAATATATTCATTTTTCAAGTGCACATTCTGTCCGATTCACATAGTGTAGTAGCAGTTGCAATTCTGAGTGAATCAATCTTCTGTAACTTACTGTGCTTTAGGACTAGAAAAGAACAGCACTGTCTACTGAAAGACTTCTCACACTCATGATGTTTCTAAAAAAGAGTAAATATTCTTGCCAACAGATGAATTTTGGAAATCCAGCAGTAAAAATACCTTTTATTCAAAACCTACAGTGACTCAAAAGTGTGGACAAGCCCCTAAAATATCCTCTCAAAAGCTAGATTGGTAAGAGATGGGGAAAAATAAATAAAAGAGGGAAGAATAAAATAGCTATTTAACTGTTTGTAAAAGCTCATTTCTTTTTTTTTTTCTGTTACTCCAAAGAATTAGTAGCTATATTTATCAGTAGCCTATAGGTAAAATATATTGCTTGTAATAAAATACTGAAAGCTTTTTAGCTAAAACTGCACTGAATATAACAGTATAAATTATATAAAACATAGGTAGCACACCACATAACACAACCACAAGTAATTAACAGATGCAATCTGCAAAGCCAACATGTAGAAAGCACAAGAACATATAAGATTGGAGCTGATTTTTGCACCTGGATGTTACCATAATGGAAAGATCAGCAGATCAGAAGCATAGCAAATAATGGCATGATACATGCAATGGAAAGACTGGAAGAAGCAAGCCACTGCAGACAGACTTGTATGGTAGTTAATGTATGAAAAAGCTTACTTCATTTAGAAAGCTCACTAATTGGTCTACCGTTAAATAATCAGTTTTGTCTCCATTGCTGAAAAGAAATTTATTAGAGAATGTAAGTTTTCATATTATGATGCTACAGTAGGTATGATTTACATGTTGACATTGTTGATACTTTTAAAATCCTCTACTTTTCTACCTGAAGTGGCTCCATATCTCAAAATTAATAGTCACAGAATATATACTATCTATGCTAAGTACAGTGTCTCTCTCATATTTGGTAAAACATAGCAGATATTACTTCATAAAACAACATGTAAGTCTTCCGGCTAAGAATAATTTGAATGAAGAACCTTTTAGAACATCAGATTTCTTATTTAATTTAGTTAGTTCACATACTGCATTAATCACCTAAAAGAAGCAAGTTAAAATTACAGTAGTTAGTAAAGCCAATGCAAACAAAATAAAATTAAATAAAAAGTTCCAGGTGCTTCTTTTAACTCATGTAAAAGTTACTATAAAATACACAGTGAACTTTTACATTAACAGTCTGAAAGGGAAGGATGGGGAAAACACAGGCTTGAGTTTGTCTTAAAACCCTGCTGATAACACTAGGATTCAAAGATTGGCAGCCTTTACAGTGCTCTGTCACTTTTAGGTATAGACTAAAACTACAGTAAAATAAGATTTAAAACAAGATCATATTAAATTTTAAAACTTACATCTTCCTATAGAGCTCCTCTATGTCAGTTCGGGGACATATCTTTTGGGTAAGCTCATAAAATTTCTCGTAAGTAAATGCTGCAGGCTCAATTTCATCATTCTGCAACAAAATGCAAAGGTAGATTATCCAGTAGAGGACTGTTTATAGGATTCTTTTCCTAAGAGCGCATCTTATATTAGAGAAAGCAAATGAGAATTACTATGGTGCTTTACCTAACGTACATGGGTTCATTTGTATTTTTTGAAAAGTTCTCAGTTCTCGCCTTTATCGCAGCTCTGCTTGGCCTCCCAGTAACAGCAATTCTGCATAAACACAGAACTGGAACACGGTCTTTATTTTCCTCCTTAGGCTTAAGGAAAAGTGCAAGATGAACTTCAGGATATTTATCCTGAAGCCAAGGGACATTAACAAAAAGGCCTGGGTTTGGTGCAAAGGTTTTAAATAGCAAGGCTGCTCTTGCACGAGGGTGCGTCAAACTTCCCCGGGGGAGGGTGGATGTCGGACTCTAACACACTCAGCGCCGTGTCCTTCGGCTGAGCAAGGCGAGCGCTGCGGGAGGCAGGAGGAAACACTTCCCCTCGGGTGCCAGGCACCCAGGCTGCCCTACCAGGAAGATTCACACCTTTCTTCCGGGCCAGGGGCGGCAGGCCAAGGACAGAGCCTGCCTGCCAGGCAGGGAGGCCTGGCAGGGAGCGAGGGCCGGCGGCTCCACCACGCCGGGGACCGGCACGAACGGCAGCCGGGGCCCAGCGTGCAACAGAGAAACACTAAATGTGCACTGTGCACCAATGTGTTTTGCATAAGTGTGTGAGGGGGAAGGCTATTACAGGAAAAAAGTCCAATTTGAAAAGTTTAAGGAGCAATGGGGTCACAGATTTAATTACGTCTGGCTTTTGGTAAACAACCTGTGGTGACGAATAACTTACCCATGAACAGAAGCAAGTTTTTGTGTGATGCAAATGACTTAGATCACAGCTATGAACGTGAATGATTCATCAACGTCTTTATATATACATATATATATATATACACACATACATAAACTCATAAACTTATTCAAAACTGCTAAATACCTTTCCACTGGGAAGACCTAATTCCTTAAGTGCCTGAAAGATCACTTTTTCTGTTTTACCTGATGCAAAGGTTCTGGTAATGCTAAAGCAAAAAAAAGAATAGGGAAAAAAAAAAGAGAGAAACGTTAGTCACTTTCTAAACAATCCATTCTCTCCCCCTTTCTGCCAACCTCTAGTCTCACCTATGAACGCAAGCACCTTCCAAGCAACCGTGCAGTTTAAAAAGTGTTCTACGTTTCACGGATCAGAAATGCCCTGCCTACAAGCTATCTAGTACAAAATATATCAAAAAAAATGAACTGAAAAAAAAAGGTTTTTTTTTCAATTTACTGGGATACAGAACTGTGCAAAATACTATTCTTTGTCTCTAGCCATCCAGCTTCATGCAAAGATATATGACTGCAAGGAGCAGCAGATTCTCCAAGTGGCAAGACCTGTCTTCAGGCATTCGTGGTTATAGGGACTCCCTTCCCTTTAGGAGCATTAAACTCTTCCTGGCAGGAGGCCATCCATAAGGTGACCTGAACCCATACCCCATAGCACTTTCTTTCCTCTTCCCTTTCAAGCCCTCTCTGCTAAGGAGAAACTTGCAGCTGCAAGTCAAATTCTTTGCTCTCTGCAGTGGTCCCTTCCCACTCTGAATACTCCTTCACCTTACAGCCATATCAATAATCCTCTTCGAGAAATACTGTGCACAACTTGTTTAAGTAGATTTTCACTCCACTGAAATCTTTCCAAACTCTGTGATTAATAGCCACTTTAAAACAGGAGTGATCTCACCATGCAGGACACTGACATGATTTCACTTGAAGGGAAATAAATCCAATTAAAGCTTAAATACTGGGTATGATTAATGTGAAAACTTTTGGTCTATTTTTGTTTCCATTCGGATTTCTAACTTTGGAAGAAGATCAGACCCAAACTTATAAGTTCTCCTTCCTTCTTTCTTGATTTTGATCTAAAATGGGTCCCACAGCCATTCAGTTTTGACAGCTAAATCTGGATTAGAAAATTGGGATCTGTAGGCCTATCTATTTCTAATGCTGTCAGAAGCTGTACATTGGAAAACACTCTACGACCATTGCTTGATGAGAATATGTTGCTCTTTATCAGCAAGTGAAACAAACATTTGCTAAGACTTTCTGTTAATCTAATGCATACTAAATAATTTCACAAAGTGAAAGATCTGAAAAAAATGTTGCTTTTATTTGTTGCCATAGTGATTTGGAGTTGTTTGACTCTCCAAAACACTCTAAACCTCTTATGTAAATATCTTCATACTAATAAAATGAGTATCAGGAAGCCAAAGATCCAAATGATAAAGTAATATTTTAACAAAGCTTAGCCAATTTTTTTAACTGGGTTCTTAAAACGTTTAGACTTCTATGCCCCTATTTAGGCACCTAAATAGTTTGATTTTCCAAGTTGATAAGTACTAAAATGTTTTCAATAAAATGTACACTGAGGAGTCTAACTTTAGGCATCCATTTTTTAAAAAGAAAATTCACAACCTATTTTTCTACTTATTGTGAGACAGAGAAAAATGCTTGCTAGATTTACAATCTATCCTCAGCCCTATAAAAATTCTATGCCTGTTCTAATGAATTGGACTCCAGTAATAAATGTCATGTCAAACGTGTAATATTGGAATAAGCAATTAATCAGAAACTGTGAGCCAAGATTCCATGGTTGCAGAAAAGTAATTTTTGATGATAAGTTCTCTTTTATTTTACCAAAGATGACAGAAAACATAGTAATAATCTGTAATGAGAGCAGCAGTCTAGAAGAAGATTGCATAAATCAAAAAATAACACAGCACAACACTTTCATTTTGCCAGAGAAGTTATAAAAAAGTCCTACTTTTTCCTCTACCAGAAGAGGCTTCATTCTCGCAGATTTACATTCATCTCATCGTAATGTCATGGAAGAAAACTGTGTTACTTCTGTATGTGAAAGCAACTGTGTTACTTTCATTAACAGATTTTTAAAGCGCCTCCCAAAACTGGTTTGAGGGGTATAAATCTATCACAGCTGTTCATGACTCAGTTACAACTCTCAAGCTTTACCACTTTCAAATCATTACTTACAAAATCAAATAAACACAAACCATTCAAAACAATTGCTTAAAAAAATCTTTTATCTTGACTACATGCATTTTCTTGACTTGACTAGAACTGGAAGTGCTACTGCCTACATTCTACAAGAAATCCTCTAAAACTATAATTTCTACTATCATGAAACTCTAGAGTGAGATTTCTTCCAAACCATTTGGAGTAATTGATAGTAAATGTATTTATTAACAAAAAGTGTAATGTCAAATTAACCTATTAAGTCTGTGTAAAACAGATTTAGTCTTCATTTATCACAGCCTAGCTTTTATTGGCCTGTTCATAGGTAGACTCTAAATTAGTTTAAATCCTTATAAATGTAGTCACACAAAGGAAAAACATAGATTGAGCTAAGCTAGTTTTTGAACAGGCTCTAGCTGAACTGGTGCAATCTGCATGTGCATGTGCACAAGCTTTCTGCCAAAAGAAACTCGGTGGATACTGGACTCAGTGATCTTGAAGGTCTTTTCTAACCATAATGATTCTACGATATTTTGACGAACTTTGATCTTGTTAACGATCATCTACAGAAATGTTAAAATCAGAAAATACAAAGTATCCTCTCATAGCCATATTCTCCTAAGTTCTGCAAATGTAGTTCTACTCTCCTACTGCCCAGAAGACAAGGTTGATTTCTCCTAAGATCTGCCCATTACCAACTGTGCCAGTATTTCTTATCTCTGAAACATAGTAAGGACATTGGCAGTAACAGAGATAAGCCCCTGAGCAGGTTAAAAACTGTAAGGAATGAAAAGGGTCTTCATGACTCTTTCGGAGTACTTCAGAGTTTTATTGTGCTTCAGAGTAACAACAAACTAAAGCTGATACTGTGACACATGTTGCTGCATTTTGGCAGATCTGCAGGTCTTCTCCTGAGAGAACAACATTCGGCAGCTTCAAAGCTCAGGGAGTTGCTGCAGGATCCCTAGGCAGCAGTGGGAGGAAGAGGCTTGAAGGAGCCAGGTTGACCAGAGGACACTATTCAAGAACAGATACATAGGACAGACGAGAGGTGGGTTGAAGGAGAAGCACCGGTGGGTTTATTAGGGTAAAGAGACCCTGGGGAGAGACTTGGGAAATGGGTGTGCAACATGGCACATTGTGTGTAGCAGCAATCTGCCTGCATTGCCCAGTTCTTCTTGGTTTGCCTCCCTTCAGCTGGTTTCCTCAGCCACTTGTTCCTCCCGTTATGCATCTGCCTCCTCCTCTTACCCGTTCTCTTCTGTGCTGGGCATCTGTGGGGGCAGGAGGCAGCGAAGCCCCCTGCATCCTCCTGCCTCTCACAGGCACCTCATCCTTCCGGACGGTGCTGTGAGTGCTCACCTCCCTGCTGAGCCTGAAATGGCTGCTACATCTTGCTCACACCATCACGGTGAATTCCTTGAAGGGTCCAGATGATAAGGAAGATGGATTAGGAGATCTACTACAAATATACAGTGCAAACTATTTTTTGCAAGAAATTAAGCAGGTAGAGACCTGTCTGTGCCTGGAACCTAGAAATAGTGCTAACTTGAAATAACAAACTCGTGCAACTAGAAACATTTGAAATAAAAATCGTTTAAGCAAAAATTGAAGCTCCCTAAAATCCGTGCTACAAATCTGGTGGGAAGATTTACTGCATTGAACTCAGTGGACTGGACTCCCTTCAGCACTATGTGAGTTTATCTGCAAAGGCAAATTAATGTTCTGTAGCACAACAGTGAGAATGTAGACCTTGCCTCATGCTAGGCAATATTTCAAGATGGAAGCATTTTCTGACAACCTGTCAGGCTATAAATTTACACAGAGGCATATAAAGCTCTCTGTTCAAACTCAGTCTTAAAGCTCTAAATTCTTGGAGATTAATTCATTGCTGTAATATTGTCTCATCTCTCCCCTTCAGCTGATATTCCTCTTGGGATCTCTACACAGAAGGTGTCCCAGGGCAATTGAAAAACAAGCAAGGGTTTAGCAATGCGAAAACTTAAAGATTAATACACTAATGCAGTTTTAACACTGTCAAGGCAGGGCTGGAGTCGAAATTAAAGCCTGGAGGGCAGCCCAGCATGCTTGGCAAGTTCTTTGACCTTAGCACATTCTGTAGATCCATAACCACTTATTCCTCTCTTGAAAAAAAAATCTGCGAGGCTTATGCTGTAAAGTTCTCCTTGTTTCTCGCTGCAGGGTTCTCTTTCTGAGAACACAGCATGCCCCCAAAGCAGGATTTTTACACACTGGATGAGCAGGAAAGAGGCTCAATGTATTGACAGGAATGCATGGAGCAGGTGATGGGAGAAAAACTGCACAGTCAGGGCTAAGAAAATAAAAAAGTTAATAGTTATATAGAAAGAACAAGGCTATTCAGGCTCTTCCATCACTGAAAACAACTCAAGGCCTGCAATGATTCATGTACCATGTGGAGAAAAACAAATTCTATTCTAGGGGTTCCTATAAAAGCAGAAATAATTTTGGCAGAGCTGTATCTCTCATTTTACAAAGTACAACATTTTCAAGTGTACCTTTCTGTTCTCCGCTTGACTGCTCGGTTCTTTTGATAAATATTTTGCAAAATTCTACATCTGACAAACCCATTCTAGAGACTGAGGAGTTTTAAGTCAAGAAACCTGATGCTTTTGGCTCTCAGGGACTTTGTTAACAGTTGCAAGTTCTCAAATCTTCACTGTACTGGACTAACAGAAAAACTACCATGCTATTAAAAAGCCCTAGCAGGGCACTCAGATAAGTATGTCTTAGTGCTCTTTATTTTTACATGTGTTTTAAACAGTTACAAAATAGATATGAAAATTTAATTAATAAGCCACAGAATTTGATTAACATTAGACATCCATTACTTGCTAAAAACTTGAACTGTGCTTACCTCCGAACTGGAATTTTGCCATTTGTGTTCGTTAGAAATGCCAATTTCATCCAGCTGCAATGAAGAATGAAATACGTTTAAAATACTACTAATTAAAACAAGAAAATAAATACTTATGTTCAGCTCAAGGATACTTGCATCCCTGTGGAATGTGCACAAACAAATAATTGTTCTATAATGAAAACACTTCTTTGTAACCCTTCGGTGCTTAAGGTAGGGCATTTCTATAATCATAAAGGCAAAAATCAGCCCAAAGTAATCAGTACCACAGTTATGGAGTTGGAGGAGAAGAAAGACTCATGAGATTCTGTTTGCGTATGCATCAAAAAACAAACAATGCAGCCAATAAATAAAGCACACAATATCAATAAATCAAATGAACTGTCAGAAATTCTGACAATGGAGGAAGACAGTGGAGGACAGAAGGTCACTTACTGTTTCTTGAGGCATGTCATTGGACTGACATTATTAGCTCTAAAGTTATGTATGATGGATCCAAGCCCTTCTACCCATTGCTGAAAAACATGAAAATATACAAGCACTGTTAGCAAAACTGAAGAAGGAAAAAGTAGGAAAGCTTGTCTCAGAGCAAGGCTCCCCTCCTCTGCAAGTAAGGGTAATGGTAGCACCTGAGTTAAGGAAAAATTTAGCAGCTTACAACAATATGGAAAACTCCTGCCACATTCTACATATTAATATTTTATCCTTCACTAAACAAAATAACTGTGCTTTCCATTCTTCCAACTACTACAGCAGCACTGCAGTGCTATTAAAGCAGTTCACTGCCAGCAAAGGAAAGCAGTTCATCGATTGCTTTTATTAAGCTTTCCATTTATAGCCTGTATAAATACATGTCTCTTCCAGTTGCTGCTGGCAATATTAGCTATTACTAAGCAACATATACAATTGTGATGACACATTTAACTGGTCCAGTTTTAGAACAGGAACACAACAAAATATTAAAAAGCTAGAGCGGACCACAGGGAGGCACAACAGCTATGTGACTCTGACCTCACCTAACACCCATTACGCCTTCAGTCCTGCTTTCTTTCTGTCTTTCAGCCTTACAAAGCAAAACATTCCGGTAATCACTGGGATGAATGACACTCAACAGCAGATTACCACACTTATGCAATTCCTTTTTATGGATGTATTTTTTTTACTATGGCTTGTGCCTAGACTTTGCAGTACGATACAGAAGAAGCTTAAGGATTAGACCTTAACATGAACTCTCATTGATTTCAGCATGAATCCTTGGAGGATAAAGCTATAGAAAGAGGAAAAGACAACGGCATTACAGACCAAGTTCGATCTCAATTATGCCGTTGTAAGGCTGGGATTACTCAACAGATAATTTACGCTGGCGGAAGTGAGACGGGGTTTGGTCCACTGCTTAACATCAACCTTATGAATAAAGAAGCTTCTCGCTTCTGGCCAAATTCTGTGTGTGCAGCTTGCATTGACTTGGGCCTGGTCCAGAATTTGACACTTATAAATAGATGCAGACGAGTGTATTTTTTCTTTTCATGAATGAGTGCTACACATCTACAAAACAGATGAAAAAAAATCTTCATTTATGTAGAAGCAATACTAATACTTTTGGAAAACACTGTATAACAAATCTGTAGGCAGTAAATCCCAATTGGCTAAAACAACATAAAAATCACCTAAGATGCCAATTCATAAAATAAACATGCTTAAGCAGATACTTATACTCATGAACTGCTGCAAGAATGTCACAAACTTCTCTTTGAACATGGAGAATATGAAAAGAGTATCAGGCTCCCTTGTAAAGGAACCTTATAAACCTATCTGGCCCTAGGAAAATGACTGATTTTTTAAGATGTCGATCAATACTTAAATATTCTTTTTTTCAAAGTATCCTTTTAAGAAGTATGGTATAAAAATATGCATGCAAAAAATATGTATCTGAGAAGAATCTGAAAATAAGTCTCAGCAAGTTATGAGAAGAGCATATATGGTTTCATTCATTTGGGGTTTTCTTATGTTCTTTTTTTATCTATGTTTTCTTACGTTTTTATCTCTTTGAGCATTTTTGCATATGAGAATTCTTCATATGTTCTCCTCTTATTATGATGCTCAGAATTATTCATCCTTGCTATTTTTATCTCACCTAGAATACATGTGATACTACCTAGAGACAGAATTCCTGGAGCGAGGGAACACTGTATAACCACAACAGCCAGTTAGGCAAACAAACATGCTGTGAAGTAATGCAAGGGGACGTCCCCAGCAGTGTCTGTACTCTCCGAGCACGGCTCTTTCTTCCCCTGCAATATCTCCTCTGCACTTGCTGCCTCAGTGTGCCCTACTCTGCGCTACCGCACATGTTCCCTGCCAGGAAAGGGAAAAACAACATCTTTCCAGCACTCACAACTCCGACACGGAGGAGGGTAAGAGACTCACTCGGTCTCACCTCTGAAACAGCTTCCAGACTTGGGCTGAAAACAATCCATCAGTAAAAGGCTGCCCTCCCATTTCCCAGCTGCATGAGTAAGAGAACTCAGTAGCAGCAGTAGGATGCACTGTCCAGGGACAGAAAGCAAGCAAGGTTCATGGGGGGAAGAGAATGGTATTTCAAGTTATTTATTACAGCAACTAGTTCTGATAACAACAATTAGTTGTTACTTAGAACAACTTAAAAAAAAAAAAAGAAGTCGATGGAGCTAGGGAACATGTATCTTTTCATACAAGAGTTTCCTCAATTAAGATGCTACTAGAAGAACACTTGCCAAAATTTCCTGAGAGCCCTAAACTCTACTCTAACCTGCTGCAGGTATTTTTCAATCATCTAGAACTGTGGAATTCTGACTCTAGTTTATCAGTGATCGCATGTGTGTTTCCTAAGAAACATTAATATACTCATAGCTATATAATAATTTGCCCTAGATAAGGCTGTAGTCCCTTAAAATCCTTTGAATTTTTCAACATCCACCATGAATGTAAAATGACCTATGATGACTGGCAAGCAAAATAATTGCAAGAAAAGCTGTCATGCTATATACGTGGTGTGAATAACTCTCCAATTTTCAAAACATACTTTTTTTCCTGCTAAAAAATGCCACTAGCGCAGTGCTGGCAACACCGATATTTGAACAGCAAACAAACATGTACCTATCAGTTCTGATTTGAAGGCAACAGGCTGCAACTACGCCAATTCTCCACAAATTTAACATTTCAGTGTAAGAGTACCCAGCACTCAGTTCCCAAGTCACTCTTACACCTGAAGAACAGTTGCATGAAAGAAGCACTGCTAGGGGGGAAAAAAAAATCTAGGAAAAGATCAATACCCCAGACATCAGGTAATTCATTCGCATTTAGTATTTAGAGGGACTCCCTCATCTTTATTCCTGTCCTTTCTGACAGGGATGCCAAATCAGGAACAGCTACCTCTCAATATCCGAGGGGCACCAAAATGCAGCTGAATGCTGATGAAAAAGCAGCACATCTCTGCTGGCCCCGAGCAGGGCAGTAATCCAAGAGAGATGTTGTCACGCTATGACTCATCTTTACCTTGTTTTGATGCCCTCTGGGCAGGATACGGCAGTTAGAGACCCACACTTCCCCAGCTGCCCTATGCGGCAGCATCTGGCTGCCCCTATTCAGTCTGGGGCTAAAGCAGCTTCCCAAGCGCTTCATCAGATATTCCCTGCAGCTACCAGCTGGCCCAGAACCACCGGGAATAAGGAAGCTATGAAAAAATACTTCTGGATTATGAACATGCTGTGCAGAAATAAAATGCCATAAGAGGAAAAAAAAATCCCGACCAATATATTAATATTTAAGCACAGCACAAGACATTCAATCCATTTGTTAATTGGTCAACACAGAACACCCCACCGAGCCAGAGCAGTCTCCAAATAACAATTACATTCATCATCACTTTTAACACACTGTGATCCAACACACAGATATTCACAGAAAGCCGAAGTCTGAATACTGTGACAAATGTCCAGCTGGCAATATATTGCTTTCGTGTCAGCAAACCATTTCTGGATTAAATGTACACTTGTCTAACGACCATGCAGAAGGGATGAAAAAAGAGTTCGGCTCTTTTTCCAGCCAAACTGCTATGAGGACACTGTCAGTTTTATAGATGAAGCTGGGACCTGTATACCTCTGTAATCAAACAAGGATAAATATCATAAACTGCCCAGAATCTCCAAATCACCTCTCCAGAAAGGGAAAATCCTCTATAAAACAACTGGTTAAACAGGAAAACCCAGTTCACTTGGGTTTTACAGAAAGTGGAATTATAAAATATTTTTAATTGAAATTCAGGAGACATTCAGTCAGACATTTACTTATGCTGGGGCTAAATATTTTCAGATTTTCCAAATATAGCTCAGTACATTTAAATCTATTAATGTAGTGCCTGAATGGTTCTCTGTATACCAAGAATTATTCTACCCATATAGAGGAAAGGAATCTGGGTGCCCTGCTGTCTAATCTGACAGAAACAACAGCCATAAAGCTAATCAAAAAGCAAAGACACCTTGAACACAGACCTGATATACACAGGCTGATACACAAGGCCAAAACCTAAGTGCACTGCTGGAATTAGCAACCTGCAACGATTTCTGTAACATGATCCAGCACTGTAGAAATGCCTCTACACAGAGAAGGTGCAAGGCAATGTGACCGAGGCAGCAGCACTCTCTGAGCTTTTGCTGGAGAAATTAAATGCCCCTGAGGCACTTAGCGACAGCCTTAGCTGAGGTTCATTGATGAAACACAGCCAGCAGTGGCAGGGTGAACAGATAGGCTTGACCTCTCAGCTCTCTCTTAGCCATCAACCTTTCATTTAGGAGGGTTAAAAAGGGCTAAGATTAAGACCATTAAGAAGGGCTAAAAACCAGTCTAACCTGCAACTCACGCAATTCCATACAAGGTCATCCATGGCTTATTTATAGATGAGGCCATTACTATCCAGGCCTCTTGAGGTGATCTTACCTTTACTTCTTCAATGCAGCCTTTCCACAGTCACACCTGCTTAAGTCAAGCAGCAGGAAAGCAGAAGCAGAGAAGCACTGCTCTCCAATGCTGGTGTTCAGAGTGCCTGCGACTGGCTGTCAGAATCAAGGTCTTCACTGCCTTTCTAATCTAGTGTATTATCCAGGCCAATCTATGCAATCTCCCTGCATTTCAGCACTGCAATCCACAGCCCTCAAAACAGATCCTCCGTAGACCTACGAGGCCTCCCACTCGGGCCCGTTCTGTTCCCAGGCGCTGCCATCATTCGGCCCACATGCCCCAAGGACACCCCAGCTTGCACGGCCTCTGCCGTTGTGGTTGGCTCTTCCTCTCCGCGGAGGAAGCTGTAATGACAGAGAAGGAAAAGCCCCAGCCACAGCCAACCCTTGGGCAGTCAGTCTCAAGCTTTTTCGTGATGCAAATTCAGCAGCACAGGTCTGCCTGGAGCAGTTTAAACCATCCCTTTCTTGCTCTTCATTATGGCCTTCCATGGAAGTGCAGTACCAGGTCATTCTACCCC